CCATACCTCAGCACCACAGCCCCATGTCCATACCTCAGCATCACTTCTGACTCTTTGACAATCTGGGCTATGTCATCTTTGCGGATCTTCTGCTGCACCAGCAGCTCGTGGGCCCTGGTCCACCTGGGGAAAGGCAGCAGTGAGCTCTGGGGCAGAGGCCCTCGGCGGTCAGAATCACAACTAAATCCCCCAGGATCACCACAAAGCCCAGGGACAGCTCAAGCCTTGCGTCTTGCAGTCCTTGGGGACAAGAGGTTGTCAGGGCAAGGTCAAGATCATCATGCACAGCACTCACCACTCCACCATGAGGGGACATTTCTCTTCCAGAGTCCGCTTGGGATCAATTTCAATGGGATAGTAATAGTGCAGCAGGTCCTTCAGCTGGAGCGTGGGACAGAGGGAAAAAGAACAGAGTGAACATCAGGTCTAAACAGACTATAAACAACAAAACCAGCATTTCTGAAGTCTTCCAAAGCATCACACTTCCTAAACACAACCAAACTGGGTCACTGAGCAGCTTCCCTCTGAGCACACCTGGAGCTCTTGGCAGCCTGGCTGACCCTCACCTCACTCCAGACAGACACTGCAGGTACAAACATCCCTCCCCTTCCTCCTCTTATTGAGCTGAAACACCCACAGCTGTGCATGCAAATTCAATTTCCCTTTTTCACTTCTCCTCTGCCACTGCTGGCTGAAATGCAGCCTGGACACTTCCCCCTCCAGCCTGGCAGCCAGCACAGCCAGGAGAGTTGCCACGCCAGCCAGTGCAACCTTACAATGACGGGTGACAGGGTGTCCTACACACAGCACCCACCTTCTTCCTGCCGTCCTCACTGACAACACGGCTGGTATCGAGGATATCTGCAAGGACAATACAATGACAATGGCACAGAGACATTAAAAGCCTTTCTAACAGCAGCTCTCCTGCATCTTAGCGCCGGCTCCTCCCAAAACAAGCTGCGGTGGCACAGCTGTGGAGTCCCAACAGGCGCCGAGCACAGGGCCTGGCTCTGCTGGGAGAGTGGGATGGAGATGGACAGCCCAGGACACGGCTCCTGCAATGGGCAGTGGGTGGCCAGGACCAGGCAGTGAGGCCCAGAGCTGCATGAGGAGCAGTCAGGTTTGGCAGATGAGGGGACAGAGGATGACAGAAACCACAGTGATGAAAAACACAAACGCAAAAACCAAACAGAACTAGTGACAGTAAAAACAGCAGCTTCCACTCCCTGTGAAATGTGGGGCAGCGCCTGCCCTTGCATCCAAACCTGCTCAGTGTCATGTCAAAGTCAGAAATGACCTGGAAAAGGGGAGAAAACAACATCTGTGTGTGCCCCAGCGCACTCTGCCCCAGCCAGAGCAAGCCAAGGTGCTGCCAGGGCGCACACTGGCAGCGACAGGGGCAGACGGTGTCCTCACCCTCCCACCCCGGCGCTATTATCAGCACCGAATGGCTCCATCCTGCCTGGGCGGAGAAGGGGTTTGGGGAGTGGGGCACGGTTTGAGCTTCATAACCGGGAGCCGAAAGGACCGTACGGGGAGAGCCACCAGCCCCGTCCTCCGTCTCCTCTGGGGCTTCTCCCCTCCGCCTGCACACCGCACCGCAGCCGGGGGGGCGAGGAAGGGCCAGCTGAGACAAGGACGGAGCGTGAGCGATGCACCTCCTGCCCCGCCGGGGCCGGTACCTGCAGCTTGGCCACCCCCTGCTCCCGGAGGGTCCGGATGATCCCCCGCACGCGCTCGGGCTGCCGGATCCGGACCGTGGCTTTCTCCAGCTCGGGCACCTGCGGGCAAAGCAGAGACCCCGCTCGGTGCCGCCCTGGTGGGACCGAGGACCCTCCAGCGCCCTCCTGGCCGCGCTCCCCCGCCCCAGCCCCGGGGCC